TTGTAGCCACACTCGCTCGTTTCCCTTATCGAAAGGGGACTCTCAAGCAAATGTACCCTATAACTAGCATGGGGATGGAAAAATCTAAAATGAAGGGAAAAGGGTTGGAGGGGCATGCCAAATGCTAAAAAAACTAAGAAAAATGCATGAAATGTAGTGAGACATGCAAGTATGTACTAACGAGAGAGATCCCTAAGGGTCTAGCATTGGACTAGCCCATATCTATGAATTCCTACTAGCGTTGGACTAGTGGAAAACGGGACAATGAGCCACAACTAGCGTTGGACTAGTGTGGTGACGTGCATTCATCCATCATATTCATCTACGACTATAGAAAGCAAGTAGACATGCAAATGATCTATAAACACGTAGCACATAACATTTAGCATGCTCGACTAAATACAAGAGCCTAATAAAGCAAATTAACACATAGCAACAAAAACAAGCAATGAACCTATTACATTTGCTAACTAAAACAAAAGGGGAAGGGGAAAAATGGACAAAATTGCTCTCCAAGCCCTATCTATTACAAGCCAAGAGGTGTACACATACCCCATAAAAAAATAACTTAATGAAACCAAAAGTAAATGAAAATGAAGGGAATTAAGGAAAAGCAAGGAAAGCAAGGTAGACATACAATTCTCATTTAGCACGTTGGATCACATAGGAGAGACAAAAAAGGATAAAAGAAATTATACCTCCCCGTTTGTAATGTTAGTAAAGTGAACAAGACTCAACTGGGGCTAGAGTCATCAAAGAAAGAGATAACTTGGGCTAAAACCATCAAAACAAAGGATTAATGCACCAATTTAAAGATAAGTAGAATAAAAGGCAAAAAGGAAACTCAGAACACCTTAGAAACTTCCAAAAGGGGTATTAACAAACCACCAAATTCTTCCCTAATTGCGACTTAAATAAAATCAAATAATGCATAATTTTCAAGAAAGGGACCCACCGAGGACCCAAATGTAATGCTAACCAAATCACTTGAACCCAATCAAACATTTTGGGAACTTCAATAGTCCAAAAGCAAGGAAAGAGCCAAATAATGGTTCAAATGCAAATACTTTAGGACTCAATTGCAAGGAATCAAAATATAATTGGGCCATAGTGAAACAAAGAGAGACTTGAGGGGTTAGAATGAAAACTCAAAAAAAATTTCCATGCATGCATACGAGGAAAATTTCTGCAATGAAAACCATTCAACAACTTTTGAAACTTTCTGCAACTTTCGGCTTCCATTCATGCAGGAAAACAGCCGTGGACACGAAATGAAAGGAAACATGCAAGCCTGTCAATTAATTCCACAAGACCCAACTTAACACAAATCATACAATGACACAAGATCAAGGATTCAAGATCCCTTCTCCTCAACAGATTCGCAAAAACCAGAAAAACATTTCTTGCTGCTTCTCCTAAACTCTAGCATGTTGGGTTCAAATTCTGATGAATTTTGGATGTAATCCAAACTTACCTAATGGCCAAACCAACAAATTTAGATCAAAACACGCAAGATTATCCAATAATCTTTCCACTTTTCAACCACAAAGTCTCATTTTTATGCACAAAAAACCGAAAGAGAGAGCATGCGGCAATTTGGAAATTTTTCGGCCACTTGAGCTTTCATTCCCAGAAACCACCAGAAAATTTGCAGCCCAACATTCATTAGATTTCTCATGAGCACACAATGGACAATGCAATCAAGGGAGACTAAAAAAAAACTGGCCAGTTGAAATGCATTCATACTTTCTTGCTGCAATTTGCAGATCAAACTCGCGCCAATGGATTAGAAAAACTCACCATCCAACATACAAACAGACCCAAAGGAACAAACAGACCAAAAATTGGGCACTTACTCCATTTAACACTGAAACTCAACATCAAAGTTTACACAAACAACAAGAAACGGAGAAGTAGCAATCAAGGCAACATTAAAACAGACTTGCCGAAACTTCATGCTATATTTCTGAGTTATGTTTGTTCAGCATACAAACGTTAGCCATAAATTCAAACAAGATGCAAGAAGCTGATGGCTTTTAGCTCTAAGTTTCTATCAAAAGATTTTGAACAGAATTTTGGCAGCAGGACATTCATGACCTCTCAGTCAAGCCGCGCATACAACAAACGTCAAACAAACCACCATTTCAGCCACCAAGGAGCACAGACAATCAAAGCAAGACTCGGAACAAAAACAAACAAAACCAAACAAAGAAACTTACAGTGCTTGTATTCTCCCTTATTGAAGATCCGTGACTGATATTGGCTTAATGAGATGATAACAGCTTCTTGTGAGGGTCAACAGTCCTAGTACCTTCTTCGTTCCTTGAGGAAACAGCACCAGATCTCTCTTTCTTTCTCCTTGCTGTCTCGTTTTGCCTTGCTTCCCCTGGTTTCTGGATTTTTCCCGTTCAAAGCTCGTTCCTTTCCACTCTCAGCCTTGCCCAACTCCCTTGTTTCTTACTCTCTTCACGATATCTCTCCCTTTTCTCCTACTTCCCCGAAGCTTTCTTCTGGTTTCTTGCCCCCCAGATTTCCAGACTCTGCCCTTGGTTTTTCTCTTTTGTTTCTGCCCTTGCTCAATCTGTCCGAAAACCTTCTTGTTTTTCCTTTCTCCAACCTTCTTCTCGGCAAACCCCCAATGCTCCCTTTTTTGTTCCAGATTTTTCTTCACTCAGTGCTCTCTCTCACTCTCGGCTCTTTTCTCTCTAGCTATCCACGCCGTCAATAGCCTCTCTCTGATTTCTTTCTACCTTCCAAACCTAGATGCCCCATTATCTCTTCAAACGTCACCTATCTCTTCTCCCTCGGCTACTCCCCTTCAGATTTTTTTTAGCCGTTCCAATCCCCCCTCAAAGCTGCGTTTCTTGTTCTATTTATACCAGAAACCTGCTCTCAAACCCTCACCTGAAAGGTGAGGATGAGAGTGGAGGTTTTACTGGGCATCTTAGAGCCCTCCGATGGGCATGTGCGACTGTCCTTGCAAGCTGCGTTTCTGCAGCTTGCATGTAAAATTTTTTTTAAACAATAATAATGCAAAAATAATATTTTAAATAAAAACAGATAATAAGAAGAAAACTCGGAATAAAAGATCAAAAATAAAATGCCTAACAACAAATTTTGGATTGATGATTTTCCTTTTCTTTTCCTTTTTTCTTTTATCTTTTTTTTTTCGAGAAATTCTATGCTAAAACTTAAAAATAATAAAATAAAAAGCTAAAAAAACTAAAAACTAAAAAGTGAATAAACGTAACACGAAAAATAAAAACTAAATAAATAGTAAATGAAATTACACTAAAATTTTGGTGTCTACAATTTCATTACATCAAAAATGTTAAAAGTGATTGTCTCCCCGTCAAATTCTACAGAAAAGGTCCCTTCATGCACATCTATATTTGTCCTGGCCATACTCATGAACGGTCTATCCAGAAGAAGTACAGTTGAATTAGCGGAGTTATCATCATTCATGTCAACAATATGGAAATTCGCAGGAAAGAAAAACTCATTAACTTTCACTAGGACGTCTTCAACCACACCCCCAGGGTAAACATTGGATCTATCGGCTAGTTGAATTACCACTCTTATCTCTTTTAGAGGTTCTAAGTTCAAGGCCTTAAATATTGATAGAAGCATAATGTTAATAGATATTCCTAGATCAAGCATACCTCTTTCTATCCTTTTCTGGCCTATGGTGCAGGGTATAGTGAACATACCTGGATCTTTGCATTTTTGTGGCAACTTCCTTTGAAGGACTGTTGACACATTCTCACCTACCCTTACTTTGTCTTGGAGATTCAACTTGTTCCGGTTAGTGCACAACCCCTTCAACAACTTTGCATATTTTGGCAACTGCCTAATCGCCTCAAGTAATGGGATGTTGATTTCCACTTTCCGAAATGTGTCTAAAATATCCTTCTCTGACTCCTCTTTCTTGGCTTTAGCCAACTTGTTAGGAAAAGGGGGGGTTAATGTCAAAGGACTTAGGAATAATTGGCGAGGTGCTTACCTTTTCCTTTTCAAGCTCCTCTCACTCTCGTTCATCTTCTACTCCTGTTGCCTCTTATTTTGAGGATTGCACCTCCTTTCCACTTCGTAAAAGCATTGCACTTGCATTCTCTTTTGAATTGGGGATTATCTGAGATGGTAGCTTCCCTTTACCATTCTCAAAGTTACTCATTGAAGGCGCCAGTTGTGACATTTGCGCATCCAAAGTCCTAATGCTTGCGCGAGTCTCTTGTGAAATCTCTGTGAGTCTTGTTGAAATCTCTGTTGGTTCTAGCACATTTGACAAGTGCTGTCAACTAGTGATTTAATCCTGTCTTCCAGGGACATACCTGAATCAGATATGGATGGTTGCTGTACTGGTTGTCTTTGCTAGAATGGTTGTTGGAATCCCGAAGGTTTCTGAGCATAGCTGAAGTTGGAGTGGTTCCACCACCCTGGATCGTATATGGGCGCATATGGGTCATTTCACCTTTGTGGTGGTCCAGGCAGACCTCCCATGGTGCTGGCTTGCTCGTAAGGGTCTTCTTGAAGGGTCGGACACATGTCGGTCGCATGTTTGGGGGCAGCACATATCCCACATGCTTTAGCTGCCTGTACTTGCCCTACTGCCATCTGACGAATCAGAGTCGTTAGTTCAGTTAATTTATTTGCCAAGTCAGAATGATTCACCTCATTGACTCTCCTAGTCATGCCCTCAGATCTGACTCCAAATTGTTGAGAATTCTTAGCCATGTTCGAGATCAGCAGTTTGGCTTCATATGTTGTCTTATTAACTAAAGCTCCTCTACTAGCTGCTCCTATCTATGGGTAGGAGTCTCTCGTAAAAATGCTGGATCAACAGTTGGTCTGGTATTTGATGGTGCAGGCAACTGGCGCACAGTTGTTTGAACCGTTACTAGTATTCGTATAGAGTTTCTCTATTTGCCTGAACATATTTCCTTCCTAATGTTGGCGGCCCTAGAAACGGGGAAGAATTTCTCAAGGAATTGCCATTTTAATCATTCCCATGTAGTGATGGACCCCGATGGCAAGTAGACCAACCAGTCCTTGGCCTTGTCTGCTAAGGAAAATGGAAACACATGCAACTTGATTTGTTCCTCCGTCACTCCCTGAAGTCTCATGGTTGAACACACTACATGGAATTCTTTGAAGTGCTTGTATGGATCCTCACCTGCAACACGACGAAAAGTAGGTAATAAGTGAATTAAACCAGATTTTAGTTCAAAATCCTCCTCAGTGTCAATATACGTAATGCACAGAGGCTGTTGGTTAACATTCGAGGTTGCAAACTTCCTCAAGGTCCTTTGGGCTACCATTGTCTTGTTGGGTGCAAGCAAGTTTGCTTCCAGGTCAACTGATGAATCACTTAAATCAGGATTTTGCTCAAGTCCAGATGGTTGTGCCGTTGAAACTTGTTGCTTTTGCAACTTCGTCTCTTTCATCAACGTCCTTACGATTTTCTCGATCTCGGGATCAAATTCGAGTCTTCCTGTGTGAGAAGATCGAGGCATAAAACAAAGGCTAAACAAGCCTGTGCGATAAATCACTTCAAGCACCAGTTCCTTGGCAATGGCGCCAAAATTTGGTGCTTGTCAAACTACCAAAAATAAAATTTATATTAGACCTACTACCAAAACTAAATGAAAATAGTGGTGAGTATGGTCATCTCCTCAGGGAACTGTTAGACTTATCACACACAGATAATTAAGGGATTTTTGGAAGGGAGATAAAAGAAACAAATTAAAGATGTAAGGTTACTAAATAAACAATTGCTAGAAGTGCAATAACTAAAGAATGTAGTAAACAGTTGATTGATACAACCTAGTCAAGGAGATAATCTCGGCATCGGCTCATGCAATTGATCATAGATACCTGAATTAATTCACACTTTCACAAATAAATTGGTTAAAGCAATTCAACAACCACCAAACCACCAATCTCTCCTTAATTATATGGTAGTCCAGAGACACACTTAAACTACCTCCTTGTAAAATAGATAACCCTAAAGACGTTTGAAAGATTTAATCTATTCACAACTTTAAGAATTAGAGAGATCCAATTCTAGTTAACAAACACACATGTGGGTTCATTTAAACTAGATTAACTATTCCCACGACCTAGATTAGACTGCTTGCGAGGCAATGAAATTGTGCCGTTTGCCACTAATTTAAGACAATCAAATGATAAGCACCCTTGTCCTAATTGGTGGTATACTATTCAGACAATTGAACAACTGACCATATTGATCCAATAAATCCAAACAATAATAGGCTGTTAAAACAAAGAATAATTAAATAACCACGAACGGGGAATTTAAAATAGAGCAAAACGATTAAAACGATCTCACAGTTTTCCGTGCACCTGGCCTTGATCATTCCTCAACTAGATAAAAGAACTTAGCCTGATCTCATGCCGTTGATGCAATTCAAAGTTTTCACGGAGTTTAGTCGACTGAAAAGAGGTAAAGAACGACACAACCGCTAGTCTAGAACTCACGTTGAGAACGAAAAGAACAAAGATAAAAAGGGACTGAGATAAAAGATCAAACTCCTAGTCTATTGCTGTCATCTTTTATAGTGTTTGCGCCGCCTCCTATTTACCAATTCCCAGTTTGTTTCCAAAAAGGATTGCTTCCCTATGTTCCTCTTTTAGTTGTTGCCAAAGATCTCCTTTGAAAAGGTTCCTAATCACACGTAGGTTCAAAATATGTCTCCCAAGAATAATGGTAGCTCCAGGGATAGGGCCCGCGATCCGGCTTTTTAATGCAGTTCTGCGGTCTCTGGCCTGAGCACGTTTTGGAATAACTAATCTTTTGAAATTTTGGCTCTTTTTGTAACTTTTGACACCAATCGCCTGCAACAAACGCATATACCAATTATGAGCAGAAATCCATTACTCTTGGACAATAAGTGGCCAAAATCAAGACCAAATATCAACGAATAAAATGCACAATTATCTCACTATCATGATGACCCCTAACAAAAAGCAAAAGACTGAGTATGAGTATATGACCATCTTCTCTTTAATTCGATATTTGAGTAATTTTATGCATATCTATTTTTTAGTAGCCATTTCCTCTATTTGTAGCTTTCCTTACTAGCTGCACTTTTGACTACACCTCTCGTTTGTCAAGCTCCTCCAACAACTACAACTAGTGCCTTGCATACTACCTAGACTAAGTCACTTTGCTTTAGGCTATAGTCATGTTTTCCTATAATTTGGTTTGCAATTTGTAACCTCAATTTGGCTTAGCTATGATGGTGATAATAACATTTATCGCTATTTTTCATAATTTCAAGCAAATGGCAGCAAGAATGACTTGGACTAACACTATGAATAAAAATTTCATCGACACTTATATTTCCTTCAGGGAAAATATAGAATGGGACAACACTGAGTCCCTAGAGTGGAATTATGGCAATTTGGTAGATACTTGGTCAAGAATGGCATCATGATGGTCACTGTTAACCAAGGTTCTAGTAGATCAAGAAAAAATGTAACCTGTTCTTTGAACTTGGTGGGTTGTCAAGGAAAATTGAGATTGGGATTGGCTGAGAAGTGGACAGCTACTATTTCAATGTGACTAAGGACTATTGGAAGTCATTGGATGTGATATGTGATTTGAAATTAACTAATAGAATGGGACTAATAAAAATTGCTATAGCACTGTCGATTACTTGATTAATTATTTGCTTCTCGTTTTGAATTTTTTGAGGACAGAGGACAGATTGCACTTAATTCTCATTTAGAATTTTTCATTGCAGTATAACCTTGGCATTTGCCAAATTACTTCTTAAACCAATCATTATTCTTTCAAGAAGCACTCAATGAGAAAATCAAGCACACAATTAATAGTTTAGCAGTGACAATAATTGTGTAGTTCAATCACTTACTTCTAATGACTTCATCATGTTAGGCTTCAATATATACTTCAATCAGTTACTACATACTTCTTTAGTTACTTCAGTTATTTACTTCTAGTGACAGTAATTATATAGGTCGATTAGTTATTATGCGAATTGAATTCCCTATATCAACCCATGGCTTTATAATAGTGAAGTAGTTGTATGTATATAAATATTTATGTCAAGTACATTTGTGGATTCTTATCCAAATAAATTAGTATGTCAGTTGTGTGAATTGAATTATACAGTTGTTATGTCATGCGAATTAAATAATAGTTTGTTAGCTGTGTACATAAATACTTATGGCAATCAATCACAAGTGTCTCATGCCCATATTACTTGAAAAAAAAGTGCCACAGGGAGTTGGGCCCAATCTAGCGGCTAGGCTATTCCCCAATAACGGCCATGTCATCCAAAGTCTACCATTGCAAAGAGTCGAAAAGGAAAGGCCGATGCATCAAGCTCCAGTGCAACTACTCCCAGGTTCAGGGACGGGGAAACGGATGAGGATGTTGAGAATGTTTACCATGTCCCTCTAGTCCCTAAGGCGGTGCGTGGTAAAAGGCTGGCAATGAACCATGGGATGAGTGGTAAACGAAGGGGACAAGAGAGATGAAATCCACAAGGTTGTCTGGATCTACCATTGATGATGCTATTAGCAAAATTGGACATTTATCGGAAGTATGTCTACATGACAAGTTCGTGAGTATAGAGACGGATTCTCTGTATAACTTACGTGTTTGTTAGGATATAATAAAGGAAATGGATATGTCGAAGTCTTGGAAGCTGGTAACTAACATGTATTATGCTCATATGGATAACGAGGGTCAATGAATGGTCTTCATCTATAGTTCTGCAATAGAACTGTATGTATACATTCTAAATCTAATGAATGGAAAGGGTTTATGATCAACTTCTGAATGATGAAGTGTATTAGAGCAAATATTTAATTGTATGCTAAACTTGAAACTATTTTGGAACTGAGATATTTATTTGTTGGGTTTGTTTTTTCTTTTTTTTTTTGGGCAAAACCCCAAACTGGGGGAGGGACGCCACCCCTCAAAGCTTTATTAGAAATAAACCCTTACAAGTTTGGAGCGATCACACTCTTACATAGCGAATGTAGGGGTACTGCCTAGAGTCTAGCTTACAGAGGCCTGTCGTGAGTGTAGGAAGAGAGAGGGCATCAAAAACCTTCGAGTCGCCAGATGAAACCACCCGTTTTGCAAGGCTATCAGCTGCAGCATTGGTTTCTCTGTAGCAATGTGTTAATTCAAAGGAAGCTTGACGAAGGGCTACTCGAGCCCTAGCTATCACCTCATCAATGCGCCAGGGGCACCTGTGTTCCCCATTAATGACATTTAGTAGAACAAGAGAATCCAGTTCCACCTTTATGTACTGCATACCAAAGGAGATACATAAATGTAAACCCTCAAGAACAGCCATGGCCTTTGCTTGCATATTCGTCCGAAACCCGTAAAAGGAGGAGAAAGCACTAAGGACGTGGCCATGCTGATCGCGTATAATGCCCCCGCCAGAGTTTCCAGGATTACCGCTTGAAGAGCCATCAATATTGAGCTTGACGTAAGATGCAGGAGGCGGAGCCCATGCAAGAGATAGGACTTGCGTAGATTTTGCCTTTTTAAGAAAAGGAACAACTCCCCGTTTCAGAAGCCGGTCATCGTTCATGCATGCCAAGGAGAGAGGGTGAGCAAGGGCCATCAAATGTATCAAACGCAGGATCTGGCGCACAACATGAGTTGCCGACGGCGTAGTAGCATCGAAAATGGCCCAACTACGTGCCTTCCAAAGTTCCCAGCAGACAAATAAGGGGACAATGTGTGACAGCTTTGCCATGGCAGATTTACCTGAAATGTTGCTCCACCAGCCTTGAAGTTTCAGTATGATATCATGATGAGAAGGTGCCCGGATGTCTAGCAATTGTTCCAGCTTTCCCCACACTTGGGTTGCCAAAGAACATTCCACAAACCAATGGGCTAGTGTGTCGCAATAAGGGCACTTGGAGGGTAAATTAAAGCCCAACCGCTACAAAATGTCGGGGAAAGGCAGAATGCAATTAAGCAGTCTCCACATGAATACCGAAACTTTCAGCGGTATGCGTTTATTCCAAAGCAACACGCGGGAAGGCATTGGGAGAGAGTGATCACGAAGGCTCTCCAACGCAGAAGATATTTGGAAGCCCCAATGCGAAGTAGGACACTAGATTAGGCATTCAGGAGCAGCTCCCGGACTGAGCCGCACCTGTGAATGGTGAATACGCGACATCTCCTCGCTGGAAAGGCTCACCTGGTCCAAGTGCCAAATGTTATCGTGCAATACATCCCGAAGGTAGAGGTTCGGGGAGGGGACGTGCAAGCGATGCTTGCCCAACGGACCGGAGCCGATCCAGTTGTCATACCAGAAGGAAGCACTCCCATTCTTAATCAAGGTTTGCGAATGTTCCTCAACGAAGTCCCTAACTCGCAACATTCTCTTCCAAACAGCTGAGCTTGTCTGGCTGGCAGGAGTAGTGGTTAGATGCTCCGTGACTGCGACATGTTTCGCACGCATAAATCTGGTCCACAAGGTATCTGAAGTGCGCATTTTCCACCATAGCTTGCACCCAAAAGCATCCTGGACATCCTGTAAACGACGGAGGCCTAGGCCATTTTCTTGGGTAGGCTTACACAATGCTTGCCATTTCCTCCAATGACGCTTGTCACGTCCCTCAACCTCTCCCCAAAGGAAAGTGGACATTAGTTTTTCAATCCTCTTAATCACACCTCGCGGGAGCTCCGAGACGGCCAGAGTGTAGATGGGTATAGAAGATAGCACATGCTTAATGAGAATTAACCGTCCCCCTGGCGACAGGAGCCGGTTTTTCCATCCAACCAACTTAGCCTGTATCCTATCAATCAAAGGCTGAAAATGCTCCATCCTCATTTTTCCTTTCACAAGCTTGCATCCCAAGTAGACAAAAGGAAGTCCCTTATATTGAAAGCCGGTTCTCCGAGATAGAAGCCTTTTAGCCGCTAGAGGACACTTCGGAGAGACAATGTAGAAACTTTTATCCTTGTTCACTCGCTGACCGGAGCCGTGTTGATACAACTCCAAGAAGCCCATGAGAGACTGCACCGAGCGATTGTCCCCCCGAGTAAAAATGACTATATCGTCTGCAAAAGCCAGATACGATACCGTCGGGCAGTGGCTGCCCAAAGCAAAAGGCTGTAACTTCCGTTGCAGAGCCAAGTTATTAACCCCTCGGCTTAAAGCTTCAGACACCAAGATGAAGAGGAAGGGGGATAACGGGTCGCCTTGCTTCAATCCCTGCTTAGCTTGAAAGAAACCATGAGGTCGACCGTTGACCAATATTGAAAACCATGCAGATGTGAGGTTGTTCATAATTAAAGAGACAAAGTGGGAGTGAAAGCCAAATTGAAGCAATAATTGGGAGGGGAAATCCTGCGAAACTCGATCAAAAGCTTTCATCATGTCTAACTTGAAAATGACGTTGTGAACCCAGGCCTTCTTGTCTATGGAATTCACCAGCTCCTGGGCAAGCAAGATATTATCAGCGATATCCCTGCCACTGACGAAGCCCGATTGCTCAAGAGAGATAATCGTTGGGAGAACAACTTTTAAACAGTTGCTCAGGATTTTGGTGAATACCTTGTTGATAAAGTTGCACAGGCTTATGGGCCGGAAGTTCGCAAAAGAATGCGGAGCCTCCTTTTTAGGCAATAGGAGGATCAGAGTGCTCACTATTCCCTTCGGGATTGGGACATCACACATGAACTCCAGAGCAGTTTGGAGGACATCCTGTGCAATTATATCCCAGCAGCGCTTGTAAAAATTACCCGAAAATCCATCACAACCCGCTGCACTTTGGCCATCGAGTTCAAAGACGGCTTGCCACACTTCCTCTAGCGTAATTTCCTGGAAGAGTTGCGCATTCTGATCTGGGGTAACAAGAGGTGGGATGGCCTCTAGCAGCCTGCAAATAGCAATGTTGTTTATTGGTAGAACCTCCGCTAACAGCGATTGAAAGAAAGCCACTGCCGCTGTCCCAATGTCATCTGCACTTTCAACAACCTCACCCTCTAAATTGCAGATCCTAGTGATCGAGAGCCGTGCCCGCTTATCCAACAGGTGGGAGTGAAAATACCGAGTATTTGCGTCGCCCTCTCTCAGCCACTTCACTCTGGCTTTCTGTTTCTAGAAAGTTTCCTCATCAGTTAGTGCAGCCTGGGCTTGACTCCATTGCACTCGAGCCTCATCCGAATCTGTCACCTCAAGTTGCAACTCCTTTAGCCTTACTTCCTCCTCAGCTTTGGAGACTTTCTCGAAAATATTACCAAATACATCTTGGTTCCAAGTACGCAAGGCTTGCTTTAAACGTTTCAATTTGAGGAAAAAACGAAACATTCCATATCCATCAGTCGGTTGATCCCAGCACTGGCGAACCACCATGAGGAAACCGTGGTGATTTAGCCACATGTCTTGGAAGCGAAACGACTTCGGCCCAGTGGGGAGCCCTGGGGAGAGTTGCAATAACTGTGGGCTATGGTCTGAGGTAGCGCGATTAAGATGTTTCACTACGCTGCCATAGAAACGACGTTGCCATTCCAGATTCATCAGGAGTCTATCTAAACGCTTCCAGATTCTCCTGCCTTGGCGGATACCAGTCCAAGTGTAACGACTGCCCGAGAAGGGAATCTCTTTGAGATCACAAGCAGATATACATTCGGCAAACTCAGCCATTGCGGTCAAGTCTTGTGTAGCCTGTCCGGCATATTCATCAGCAGCAGCTACAACATTGAAATCGCCTCCTACAAGCCACGACTTAGTCTCCATTTCCTCCGATATTAATCCCAGGGCTGACCATAAGGCACGACGTTCAACTCGTGAGCATTTGCCATAAACAAAGGACCTGTGAGCAACAAAGTTCCAAGAATCATGGGAAACTTGCATGTGAATAAGTTGGTCATTGTTTACTAAAACATTTACAGCAAAACCGGACCGCCACATTACCCATATTTTATTGGAGGAGTTACATACCCTAAGGTGAAAGCCAAAACGGGACGTAAAATCATCTAGCAGACCAGCATCAACCATCGGCTCGATGATGACTAGAAAAGTTACTGAATGTAAACGTAACAGCTTCTTCAAACGGCGAATTGAGGCACGGCCAGCAATTCCCCGAATATTCCATACTAGCATGTTAATCATTAAGTAAAGGATGAGGGGAAATCAGTGCCTACCTTCGAAAACTTCCGGGTGACAATTGTTTTGGGCAAGTTCCAGAATCGTCTGCGCCGACCCCTTTTGGCTAATTGTGTCTCTTTGTGAGTAACAGGAAAGAGGTGGTCGATCCTCTTTTTGAAGACTGCCAAGTCCTCTGTCAAAACTGCACGTGGACGAGCAGGCCTTTGTTGTCCTTCAGCATCCGAAAGTGAGTCAAGGGTTTCCCGTCTGCGTCGCCAAAGGCATTGATCATCCCTTATGTCGCAAGGAAGAGGCTTGTTCAGTACCGGCGGAAAGGCCGAAGGCTTTGGAGACTTTGAGGGGACCGGACAGGGCAGAACCTGGGTCCCCTTGGGATTACTCACTACCGTTGCCAAAACCAAATGGGCAGAGCAGGCAGCCGCTGCTTCTGCGATTGCATCTGTAGAGCGCTGCGGTTGGGCAGCTAAGTTGTGTCGTCCCTAGGTATCCACATTAGAGACGTGTTGTTGGGCAGATCCCTGATCCCCAGTGTCAGGATGTACTACTTCGGCTGAAACCCTAGCCACAGTCAGCTCTGGTTCTTTAGGTTGATCTGTCGCCTACAGCGGGATTGAATCCTTTGCAGGCCAGACTCGTTGTTGCGTAGCCAGGATATCCCGGTGATTAACAACATGATCTTGCGATCAACAGGAACTGGCGGAGTGGCCAAGTTTCCTGCAACTTTCGCAATAATCTGGTAGGCTTTCATATTCTACCTTTTGCCAGAAACCAGTCGACCCATTCCAAATCCACACCCGTTAGGGGAGGGACTGTAACAGATCAACTTCAACGCAGATGCGAGCCACACTACGCCGCGACAATGTCGCTGTGGATGCGTCTAGGCGCAGGGGTTCGCCAACCAATCGAGCAATGGAGAACAAAGGCTCTTTTCCAAAGAGGTGGACAGGGAGAAACGGGAGTCGGATCCAGACCGGTACTATAGAGGATTCGATATTTGCAGAGAATGTGGGAGACCACTGAACACATGCATTGCAAAGCCTTGGAACGTCCAGAAACCGCGCAGCCAACATCTATGAAAATCGTCTTCGAGGTCGAATCTGATTAGGACATGCCTGGGGTCAAGCAGTCCTAACGAGAAAGAACCTTTAAAGCCAACGGACATGAAGTCTTTCTGTAGACCCTCCATTGACGGCCTGCCACGGGAGAATTTCCCAATCAAAGCAAATTTTAGAGGAGATGATAAAAGGCGAACGTCCTCCGCAGAGAAGGAAACAGCTGGTTCACCACGGTAGTTTTCGCCGGGCTTGAGGCAGGAAATTGGATCAACAGCAGCAGAGGAAGAGAGTATATCAGCAAAGGAGCGCTTCGAAGGCGTGGGTGTGGGGGGTGCCCTTCACCCATGGGATGAAGGGCAGCCATGGCTGATAATCAGACAAGGAGGGAAGCGGCCTAGAGAGAATTTAGGGCTTCCCTAGAGGATATTCTCTAGAGAATTTAGGGCTTCACCTATTGAATCTTTTGTTAACTCTATAATCTCTTATAAGTTAAGTTGGGTTTGCTTTTCTTGTGCTATTGGAGTTAGTAGCAAGTGTTTAATTATTAGTATTTTAAATTCTCAACTATGGTGTGGTGTAACATGTTTAACTATTAAAGCAAATTTGAACCGTTATTGTCTTTTTTCTTACCCATACTATTGGGCATAATCATTTTTTTTCCACTCCCATAATATATTTTATGATAAAAGCTTTCCATTTTTCCTTCTTGGTCTAGGGAATTGCTCCATTTTGTGATACTTAGAACTAGATAAGGTATGATTTTCCTTTCCTGAAAAATAAAGGAGCCAATCTGAACTCTTGTGCAAACATAACCACTTGTTTGTGGTGCTAGCTTAAATAGTTGAAAACAAGGAATTTTTTTTGTTTCATGATATCCATATGAAGTTTTAAGGGCTGACAAATTTTCCAAGATTTCAACTCATACTCTCAGATTACATGAACTAATAATGTGAAAATATTATCACTTTTTTAACGGTGTCCTTTTCCTTTATTATTGTCATTTTCCTTAAATGTTAGAGGAAGTAACCAACATCTACTCTTAAACATTCAAATGGATAACAAAGTGCCATACAGGATGTTGGGCAAAACTATTAATATGTTTCAGGGTATATGTCTTTTGTTTTAGAAAGTCATGTGCTGCTTGTACAAAGTGGATTGTTGCAATGAAACTGTTGTCTTGTCAAATACTTGTAGGTTAACAATTAAGACCCTATATATACATGCCTTATGCATATCTCCCGCAGCATAAGGGGCCAGTTGAAGGGCATACTACGAAGAGGTTTATCCCCACCACCTATAACCAATTGTTTTGCGATAATGTCACCTAGGCACTGAAAAATCCATAATTTTTCTTGTATATCTTGTGCTTTCTATTCATAATTCATAGAAAATTTTCACACCATGTTGATAAGATTCTTTTAGTTTGTTAATTGCTGGTACGACACCCGGTTCCTCAATTATTCATGTGCTTGATATCTTCAATTATAGCTGGTTATATTTTTTTATCGGACAAAAAACATGATCAAAAGAATTAAATGTCTTAATACAAAGTGTAAAGCAAAGTATCTTCAAAATTTTCCATATACAAATGTTTAATTCAAATAAAAACAATGTAGGTAGAAATAATAGAATGTCGTGACGTCTTAGGATAGCATACTCAGAGGCACTTGTAACTCCGATTATTATATGAACAAACATTTACGAACTGTATTAAGTTCTACATTATTAAATCTGTTATCCTGAACATCCTAATATTCAAAATTTACAAAGTTACTATTGCACTATATGGCTTGGAACAACTATCATGGTGCAAGTAAAAGTAACTCCAATTGCAAGATTAAGGATGAGAAAGTTGAGGCCATTCTAGCTATGGGCACTGCCTTATTGATGATGCATTCGACTGTTGTACAAAATCAAGACGATGATAAAATTTCACACTATATGGGTTGTTAAGTGGCCAAGAATGGGTTGAACAATTGATTAATGGACATTACAAATAGCTAATAGAGAATATGCAGCTTATAGTCGACAAATTTCTACACATGTGCAATGTACTCATGACTAATGGGTACATCCAACAAAACTACTGACAGCGTATGGCAATAGAGGAGGCTTTGACTATGACACTGGTGATGGTTAGCTATAAGTATACATAGTGAGTACTAGGGAAACGTTTCAACTAATCCACCTAGACAATTAATCAAAATGATCATAAAGTGCTGCAGGGCCTATGTCGATTCACATCTGATGTAATATGCCCAGGTGACCAAATGGAAGTTTATCCCTGAATAGCTTACTTCAGAAATTTTTATCTATGGTTCAAAGTAATTTCGTCGGAACTGCTTCTTACCGCATAGCATGCGGGTTAACTTTTGTAGATATGCTACTGCTACTTATATTCACATATGCAATCAACTAATTTATATAGTTACTACCAACTAACAAATCATATGTATTGAATCTACTATATCATTATCAGGATGCCATAGGTGTAATCGATGGCACATACATCCCAACTTGTCCCTCATTTAGAGAGGAGGTGGTGTACTCCAACCGTCATGGATTTCAATCACAAAAATGTATTGTCAGTGTATGGCCGTGGCATGCATTTTATTTATGTATATGTTGGTTGGGAAGGTAAAGCGCATGATGCTCACATCTTAAAATTCGTGTTATCCAATTCATTTGATTTTTAATGCCATCTCAGGGTAATAAATTGGCAGTTTAATTCTTCAACTATATTTATGGTACTTGTCAAGCTCTGTATAATTGGTCTAATAATTTAATTGCAAAAAGTTATTTATGAATTAGGCAAATACTATCTGCAGTGTACAAGAACGTTTCCGAGTTCATACCCTCTTATATGAATGTGAGCCATGGCTCTCTTGAAAAAAACTTCTTCAATATGCGGAATTTGCAACATTGAAATATTATTGAGCGTGCATTGTGATGATCTCACCTCTCCCTAGGGCAAACCCAAAAGTTTGGCAGACCGTCTACTCAACTCTCACTAGAACTCACTCACTGACATTCTTGAAATAGTCTTTCATGCCTCTAGATTAACATAAAAGTTCCATTCATCCAAGAATTCCAACTTAATTTACAATCCAAAAGTGAAACATAGGATTTCATTAACAAAGATCCCAAATATATTTCATCTATAAAAGTAAGTACATGAAGATTATACACACTAGTTCATGCTTACTTGATCCGGCCTCCACTCTTGTAAGGAAAATAAAACTAAGGGAATGAGTTAAAAAATCCAGTGAGGTTCCCAAACAAGCAATCAGGTAAATAAAACATGGAAGTAATACATTTAACAATTTGCACACTTTACACAATAATAAACAGTCATTCAAGAAACAAACATTCAATCATTGGAAGGATAGTGCTTAGTAGGAGCCATTTATTCAGTCATTCAGTCGTCGACCATTTTCCTTATACCTCCGACATTTGAAAGCATTTAAAATTAAGAACTCTTTCAGTGTTCATTTCATTCATTCATTCAGTCATTCATTTCAATCATTGCATTGCATTCATTGGCCAGTACTCCACCCGATTTTGTGGTCATATTTGAGTATACCAAACACTGTTCCAGGGTCACCAGCCACCCGACCGACTCCGTTTCTGACTCGAGTTGACTGGCAACGAAGGGCAAGGGCCAAATTCAGCCAAAGGCTTACATTCATGCACAAGTAATATTCAATCATTTAATTATTGAAAATTCACATTCACTTAGATTGAATGCGATTAAGTATACACTCGCCCATTAAAAATTCATTTAATAATCATTGAAAGGCATTTAACATTTAAGCAAACATTCATAACATTTCACATAATCATTGGAAGCACAACATGCAAGGAACACTCACCAATATCAGTAGATTAAACGTCAACTCTTTGGATGATAACCTTGATCGCTACCACACCCTGAGGAAA